AGCTCCGTATTGTTATTTATTGTCACTACCTCCCCGTGTCAGGATTGGGTAATTTGCGCGCCTGCTGCCTTCCTTGGATGTGGTAGCCGTTTCTCAGGCTCCCTCTCCAGAATCAAACCCTAATTCTCCGTCACCCGTCACCACCATAGTAGGCCACTATCCTACCATCGAAAGTTGATAGGGCATAAATTTAAAAGATGCGTCGCCGGCACGATGGCCATGCGATCCGTCGAGTTATCATGAATCATCATAGCAACGGGCAGAGCCCGCGTCGACCTTTTATCTAATAAATGCATCCCTTCCAGAAGTTGGGGTTTGTTGCACGTATTAGCTCTAGAATTACTACGGTTATCCGAGTAGCAAATACCATCAAACAAACTATAACTGATTTAACAAGTCATTCAAAGGTTGAAGCGATATGCAAAGCGGGCTTCCAAGTTCATCATGCACCCAACAAGGGTGCTAATAGAAAGGGACTTACAAGACTCGATGCTACCGGTGCATGAGGTAATCTGTGCAAGAACCAATGGACTACGGTCATTCAAAATACTTTGGGACACACCAATGAGGAGGAGGTGCCGCCTACAGTTTGATGCCCGAGCATCAAGCCTATACACCCAAGCAACCAAATCACCACTCATGCGCCGTACGCTAAAACAATCTTGGCACCGATCGACTATTCACACCTACCGCAAGCGGGGGTTCAAAATCATCATTCGAAGCCAAGCCCAAAACGTCGTGCGCGGTCAAGCCATCAACCATCCTAAAGACAGCCCAAGTTAGAAGGCAACATCGCAACAGTCAGTGCAAAGCGAGGCTCATGTCGCACGCCCAAAGGCACTTGATACTGCCTCACCATGCATGTTATGCCAACACGCCCCCTTCAAAACATAGGGCTGGCCTAAGGATGGCCCAATGGCGTCACCACAACGTCACACGCTCAACGAGGTTCATGTTGGACGCCCGAAGGCACCCAACTCCACCCCACCTTGCATGCTTTGTCGTCGTACCAACCATCAACCATCCTCAAGTCAGCCCAAGTTAGAAGGCCACATTCCATGCTCAACAAGTCTCATGTCGCACGCCCAAAGTCATTTGACACCGCCCCACCAAAAATGTTATGCCACCACACAGCCTTCAAAACATAGGGCTAGCCTAAGGAAGGGAGGCATACCACAACAACGTCCCACACTCAACGAGGTTTATGTCGCACGCCCGAAGGCACCCAGCTCCACCCCACCTTGCATGTTTCATCATCGTACCAGCAGCCATCTATAGTCCAAACACTAGAGATTCCCAGTTACAAGGCAACAATGCAACATTCCGTGCTCAACGAGGCTCATGTCGCACGCCCAAAGGCACCCGATTCCAACCAGCCGAACATGTTCTGGCACCACACGTCTTCAAAACATAGGGCTGGCCCAAGGCTGGTCGAGCATATCCACAACGTCACACACTCAACGAGGTTCATGCCGCACGCCCAAAGGCACCCGACACCACCCTACCTTGCATGTTTCATCATCGTACCATCCATCAACAATCCTCAAGCCAGCCCAAGTTAGAAGGCAACATCGCAACATTCCATTCTCAACAAGGCTCATGTTGCACGCCCAAAGGCGCACCCGACACTACCTCACTGTGCAAGTTTCGCCACCGCACCACTGCCATCAACCGCCCTCGTCCGCCAACCACCACCCCCACACCCCAAGCATATGCCCACGTGCGGCACATAGTGCTTGGGGCGTGGGGGTGGCGGAAGATATAGGGGGTACCCCCGTGCCCAGCCCATGCAGACTAGTCACCCCCCTATATAGTACATTTTGGGGCATTTTTGGTCTGTCAAGCCTAGATACGATTTTTCTAAGCCGTCATACGGCCAAATATATCAAGTTTTTGAATGTTTTTTTTTCCATGAACTCAATTGATTCATGAATTGGACATTCTAATGGATCTATAAATCAAGTTTCATAATTTTTCAACCAACTAATTTTTTTGAATGAAGTTTTAAATATTAAATAATAAGAAATTAGAAAAATAGCTAGAGGTGTCAAAAAAATCTGAAATTTTGTGAGAATTATTTTTTCATGTTGCTTAGCTCCCAAGAAAAAAATTACAACAAACCGACCACCCCACATGTACTTTCACAATTAATGGGTGATGGTTGTAAAAACAAGCCCAATTTTGCTCCAATTGTCAAACCAGCTCGTCTATGGGAAAGAGTCATTTTGAAATTGTAAGTGGACGACAACCGGCCTTACCCCATATTATTGATCATCCTTATGCAGGGAAAAACCCTCAAGCTCACAACTTCACAAGAGAATGGAAGCAGACAACAGATATAGCCCGGGCATATTTAAAGAAGGCTTCCAAGCATATGAAAAAGTGGGCAGACAAGAAGCGTCGCCCCCTTCAATTTCGAGCAGGAGATCAAGTCCTCATCAAGCTAAAACCAGAACAGATCAGATTTCGCAGCTGAAAGGACCAGAGACTAGCTCGAAAATATGAAGGCCCGGTTGAAGTCCTTAAAAAGATCGGGACTATCTCCTACCGAGTTGCACTACCCGCATAGATGAAAATCCACCCAATAATTCATGTGAGCAACTTGAAGCCATACCACCCTGACCCAGACGACGACCAACGAAATGAAATCACAAGACCGCCGACAGAGTTAGGAAGATAGGAAGACCTTACGGACGATTCATGAATTCCTTGTCAAATGGAAGAATCTCCCTACATAGGAAACCAGCTGGGAAAGCGCCGAAGATCTGAACTTTGCCGCCACCCACATCGCAAGGTTTGAAAGTAGTCGGTTGATAGGGACGTCAACCAATTAAGTGGGGGAGGATGTCACAGTCATGCTCGTCTAGGGCGTGTTGCCCATGGCCGCATGCCCATAGCAAGCCAAACCCTTGTCACGTCTTTTCATTCTAGTGTATTTACTTTTGTAGTTCTAGGGCGTATGACGCCTCAAAAATATCATGTCTAGGCCTGCCAGACATGAAATTCCTCAGAATGTACTATAGGGGGTTATGACTAGTTGTCAACTTCTCCCTACCCAAGGTTATAAATGCTAAGCCGTTGCTATCTCTCTCTTGCTTGCTTATATAACGTCTCTTTCAAAAATCTCTCTTTCTAAAATCTCTCTCTAACCTCGTTTTCTAAAACCTTCTTTCAAAACTGAGGCTAGAGGCTCGATCATATGTCGCTTGGCTGTAGGCAACGCAAGAACAAATTGACTTAGCTCACTTGTCGTTGGAAAGTGAGTGCCGCACAATCGCTAGTCCGCTGCCTTTAAAAGTGCGATTGTGTCAGTGAGCGCGCGGGGGTGTGTGGGATGACTACTGAGGGAGCGCGCGCGGGGGGCGTGCAGGGTGTGCGGTGGCGGGTGAGGGGAGTGCGAGTTAACCTCCAAGGGTCTTGTAGACCGAAATAATAATTTTATAGAATTCAAACTTGAAATTGATGTCATGGGCTCAAATAGGTTTACGGATTTCAAAGGACATAATCGAACTTTCATTAAGGATATATTCGTGACAACAACTTAAGTTAACCAGGTAAGTGGCCTTACTATCGGCATGGTTATATTTGATGTTGACACGTGCCTGTGGTTCTGCACGTATCATATATACTGATATGTGTGAATTATCTATGAATCAATATGCTTATATTATGTTTATGTTATGCTATAATATGAGAATTGTATGATAATATTTATGGTGTGATGTGTTCAATGATATGTTTGATATATGATACGAGAAGGATGCACTAAATGTAATGTAACGATAGAAGTAAGATGTATTCACGAAACATTAAGGTTAGGTTACGCCTCGAAGTGCTATGGATATGAGAGATTGATAAAATAATATGGTTAGGATATGGGTAGAAAGAACTTCCTAGGAATCTATGACTTTCTAGAACAACTTACTCTAAGATGGGTTCATATGATTACAAATGAAAGTTACAACTTATGCCCCAAGAAATTATGAACATTAGAAACTTACAAGATTGAGGATCAAGAACAACACCACACAAGCTTTACAACTACCCAAGTAAGAAGAATGCTAGGTACCACTCAAGGACGAGGGACCAAGGTCCCCAAACTAAAAAACACAAGAATGCTAGGTAATACTCTAACCATGCCACAAGTGACCTATGACCTTGCATCAAGCGGTGCTTTCTAAGGCCCAAGAATTCCTCTTCTAGGTGGGATGACCTGCACCATGTTTCCTTTGCAGGATGTCATGTTTGGCCTCAAGTTTCCCTCACCTAGAAGAGAAGTTATGGGTACCAAAAAGATTTGAAGGATGACATATTTAAGTATGCACCGAGCTAGTGACCTTTATGGTCTACCATGAAGAGTAGTCTAGGGCCACGAAGGAACAAGAAGCGAGTAAGTTACCTTAGCCAAGAATCAAGAACCTCTTAAGACCTCCCAAGGTTCAACATTCTCATGACTTAGACTATGCTAATCAACAACTGAATTTCACACCACCAATTAAACGGTAATCTTTAACCATCACAAAAACCATAATCAAACAGTATAAAACTTAAGCTTTCCAGTTCAAGATTTTATAAACCGGGTTATACTACATGCTAATCGTTGCGTTTATCATCTTAAATTTCTCGCATATGAAAAGAGGTATAACAATAGTACACCTAAATTCCTACCTTTTATGCAGATTATGAAAGATAATTAATACTAAGTTGGTTATGCTCCTGCTTTAAATTTGTATTTAAGAAATAGGTTACTTTTAATAATAGTATAATTTAGACCAATGTTAACCGCATGACTAGACAAGAATAAAATAAAACAACTTCCTATTAAATCAAGAACGGCCAGTATAGACGTTACAAAACGTGATTATTCTTTCCTTGAAATCGCAAGGAAATCAAGAAGACGTTACAAAGATGAGGCGTTTCACAGATATAAAATGGGGAACTGATATCCAAACATTCCATTGTAGCAAGGAATAAGAGAAGAAACAAACATTCCATTGTAGCAAGGAATAAGAGAAGAAACAAACCTTCCATTGTAGGAAGGAATAAGAGAAGAAAAGAATGGCGGGACAAAGCTTGAGAAATCTCAAAATTGTGGTGTTCATCTTCCTAGCCCTTACTTCTGGTACTTGCTCCTTCCTCCTTCTCCATGTTGATTTAGATTGACAAATAGTATTAAAAAGAAGGTTTTTGTTTGTATGAATAAGTTTGTGTTACTATTGCAGGATGGATGGTGGTGCAGACAGAGGGGCGGACATGCTATAAGCACAGCGATGCATTTATAGGACCGTGCATTGCAGCAACATGTGCTGAACTTTGCATTTCTTTTGAGAAGTGGGATGACGGATTTTGCTCGGGTGATAAATGCACTTGTACGAAGCAATGTGCTGAGTCCATGCTTTAATGGGTTTGTAATTCACCACAGTTGTTGCTATCTGAATGTAATAAACGACTCCAATTCTACTGAATTGCACAACATGTTTACTAATCAAAGCTTCCTTCTTCCATTTTATACTTTTTATCTCAACTCGCAAGTTCAAATTGATAGAATCACAAGCTTCGTTAGTTGCGTAAATTGATGCAATCAGGTTCAAAGCTTCCTGATTCCTTATTCCTTCTTGGTTCTTCCATTCAACTATGCATTGTCATATTGATTAGGCATTTCTTAATCATTTAATTTTTTATTTTTTTAAAGAAATCATTTAATAATTTTTAGAAAAGAAAAAAAAACTGTTTACACTCATCTCATATTTGTTTCTTTCACCCCAACTCTCTACAAATTGGGAACTCAACGGTTTTAAAATTTAATTCAATATATATATTTAATTTGTAATTATTTTTTTATTGTTTATTCTTAAACCCTCCTAATTATTTTTAACCGTTATTTTAAGAAATATATATTGAAACTAAGTTGTAAAACTTAATTAAATATTTGAAAATAAATAAAAAGTTTTCTTTATGAATTAAATTTTAACAAATAAACACAAGAATCCAACCCAACCTAAAAATTTGATGGTTGTGTTCATGCATTTGGGGGATACCCCTATCCCATCACAAGGGTAAGGATGCGTACATCCAATGGCAGGACAACGATCGTTATGGGATAAGGGTATCCCCCTAGATGCATGAACACACATAATGCATGAGGTCCCTCCTACTTCTACGTTTATCATTAATGATCATAACCCCCTGTCACGTTCCATACTTCATGTCATTCTCATTTTCAATTCACATTTCATACATATTCCTATCGGGGTTATGATTCCAGACAATTCATGCTGTTTACATTCACATATTCCATACAATCATGCCATAATCATTCACGAACCACATATCGTCACATGCATAACATATCACATCAAACTAAGCAGCATACATGGCATACATTCACGTTCAATTAGAGAGCGACGCGTGTGCAGGGGGTCTCGGGTCGAGGTGCGAGTTATCGGATCGCTCGCGGGTCTCGGGCCGTATGCGTGTGACGGGCCATTCGCGGGTGACGGGCCATGCGCGGGTTAGGCACTTTTAGAACATCAATTATAGAAATAACTAGAATGTTCATGAGTATTAAAACTTAATGAGTTTGAATACTAACCTTTTGTAGTTCAAATTCCTTTTTCCTCACGAACCGGTTTCGAACCACCACTAGTGTCTTCTCCACTATCCTTCGGTCTTAGAACGGGATTGTGGAATCTGGAGAGTGACTAAACTTGGGAGGGATTTTGTATATATGAAGAGAGTGTTTGTGAGAGGTTTTTCTCAAGGTTTTTCACCAACAAGAAGAAGTTTCATGTATTATGATCACTCTATTTATAGAGTCATGTTTGTATGTTCATGCAAATTTGAGATCACCAAATTTTGACCCTCAAAATTCCACTCAAATGTTTGGGATTATGTGGCAAGCATGCATGCTTGAGTTAACCAAATTTTGACACTTAAAATTCCACTCAAATTTGTGAGGTTTATTTGGCAAGCATGCAAGTTTGGTTAAACCAAATTTTGACACCTCAAAATTCCACTAACATGATTTTGACTTTCTTCATTTTGATTCAACAATCAATTTGAATTATTAATTACAAATTAAAGTAATATTAAATGATTAATTAAACTATTTAATTAATATTTAATATTAATTCAAATGTCAATCCCAATTAATTCCGACACATATTTGATTAAGATATTTAAATCTTATTTAAATATCTCTGATTCTCTCTTTTTGTTTAATTCGTAAATAAAACAAAAATGCAGTTAAATATATCATATATATGTAGCGCATTCTCCCTAATTTGAATTCGAACACTTCGAACTCACTCGTCACACTGTTCTATGGTTTAGTCCGATATGAGCTAGCAGAGGGACCTAATGGACCTATAGATCATGGGCTCCAATGATCCAAGATTAACCGGTTAAACTCATTAACCTTGTTAACCAACATTCGTTAACTACTAAGACATTCCACTATAGCCTAGTAGTTGCACTCCCCTCACTATAGATATATTTCTGTCCATTTGATATAACCATGATTAGTAAGTCGATCCTTCACATGTTGTTCGTAACTAGAGCTGGGCTAATTTACCGTTTTACCGCTGAAGTTACTTCTTGTTTCTTATGTCTCACTGATCCTCTAATGAACAACTGGTTTGTGGTCCAACCAGTAAACCGGATCCCTCTCAGGCCAATGAGAGGGTGGGGCCCCTTGTTCAAGACCTGGAGTCAGTACTTAAGGGAACTACCTCTCTTCTATCCCTAAAAATGGGTATAGTGAATTCCATCTTGCACCCCACGTCCCAAGTCATTTACCCAGTCTTACCCCTGAAATGGGAGGCCTATTGAGTCGGCGAACTTGAGCCACTCTCACCCATGCAAATCTAAGGATAATTTTGAATA